GTGCATGTCTGTAATCCCAACTATTTGGGAGGCTGAGGTAAGAGGATCACTTGAGCCTTGGAGGTTGAGGCTGCAATGAGTTGTGATCATACCACTACACTCCAGCCTGGGCAACAGAGTGAGACCCTGTCTCAAGATAAATAAATAAATAAAAATATTAAAGGCAGATTAAAGGCACAAATAGTGTTTCTAGAGAAGAGTTTAGAGGGGATCTTAAGCTTCCTCTTGGAGATATTTAGTGGTTTGCTTGCATTATGTTACAGGTGGGGGTGTGTTCTAATACTTTCCTGCCATAGAAGTGATAATTTGAGAATTGAAACCTTTTTTTGGCCTGTTTTCTTTATACCCCACTCATAGTACAGCTTTGAGAGAATCATAATACTAAAATAACTTTCCATGCTGCTGTAGCAACTCCTGTGAAATGATTTAAGGGAACTTTATATTTTTAAAAAATAATTTATGTATAGATATATATAAGAATTAAAAGTATAACAAAATTATGGACAGGAACTATTTTTAAAACTTAATGGTAGTAATTGTCTCTACAAAGAGAGATACATAGAGTAAACCAGGCAAGTATATAAAGGAGGCTTTAATTTTATCTGAAAAAAAAAAATTTTTTTTGGAGACAAGGTCTAGCTCTGTCATCCAGGCTGGAGTGCAGTGGTGCAGCCACAGGTCACCACAGCCTCAACCTCTTGGGCTTAAATGATCCTCCCACCTCAGCAGTCCCGCAGCCCCCCAGGTAGCTGAGACTATAAGTTCACACCACCACACCCTGCTAATTTTTGTATTATTTGTAGAGACAGGGTTTTGCCATGTTGCCCAGGCTGGTCTTGAACTCCTGGGCTCAAGTGAGCCTCCTGCCTCAGCCTCCCAAAGTGCTGGGATTACAGGCATAAGCCACCATGCTTGGCCTTAATCAGAAATGCTTTGTCTTGAGATATCTGACACAAATATGATAAAGAGTAATAAAATTCTAGGTTTGGGATACATAGATGTATGTCATCCTATTTTATATTTCTGTAGTTTTGAAATTTTTATTATAAAACAAGAATAAGCAAAAGCTTGTAGAAATGAAACAAATTTGATTTTAAATTACAAATATCATAAATAGAAATTACACATATTTAGTAGAAAAATGAGAATATAGTAGAATTAGATAATGCTGTAAATAAACATATACACCAAACATATTTGGCCACATGTGGCATGTATTTGGCCGCAACAAAGAGCTCTTACACATTTGTCAAAAAATAATAAAATGGTCCTCAAAAAACTAAAAATGGAACTACTGTATAATTCAGCAATTTCTCTACTGGGTAGATGTCCAAAAAAAAAGAAGTAAATACATAGAAGAGATATCTGCACTCTCATGTTTATTGCAGCACTATTTGTAATAACCAAAATAACCATAATCAGTGGATGAACAAAGAAAATGTGGTACAGTACATATACACAATGGAATATTATTCAGCCACTAAAAAATAATGAATTCAACTAGTCGCGGTGGCTTACACCTGTATTCCTAGCACTTTGGGAGGCCAAGGTGGGCAGATCACGAGGTCAAGAGTTTGAGACCAGCCTGGCCAAAGTAGTGAAACCCCATCTCTACTAAGAATACAATAATTAGCTGGGTGTGGCGGCGCGTGCCTGTAATCCCAGCTACTCAGGAGGCGAAGGCAGGAGAATCACTTGAACCCGGGAAGTGTAGGTTGCAGTGAGCTGAGATTGCACCACTGCACTCCAGCCTGAGTGACAGTGCAAGACTTTGTCTCAAAAAAAGTAAAAAAAGATAAAATAAAATAATAATGAAATCTTACTCAAGTGTGGTAAGCATGCCTCTAGAGGCTGAGGCAGGAGGATCTCTTGAGTCCAGGAGGTTAAGGCTGCAGTGAGCTGTGATTGAACCATTGCACCCCAACCTAGGCAACAGAGCAAGACCCCATCTTGGGAGAGAAGGAGGGAGGAAGGAAGGGAAGGAAGCAAGGAAAGTAGGGAGGGAAGGAATGAATTTTGTCATATGCAGCAACATGGCTGGAACATTATGTTAAGTGAAGTAAGCCAAACACAGTAAGACAAATGTCACATGTTCTCATTCATATTTGGGAGCTAAAAAAAAAGTGAATATCATGAAGATAGTGAGTAGATGGGTGGTTAACAGAGGCTGGGAAGGGTAGGGAATGGGGGCATAGGGAGAGGTTGATTAATGGGTATAAATACACAGATAAAAGAAATAGTACTGTTCTATAGATCAGTAGGGTGACTATAGTTAATGATAATCTATTTTACACTTCAAAAAAGTTAGAAGAGAATAATTTAAATGTTCCTAGCATAAATGAAAGATAAATATTTAAGGTGATGCATAACCCAATTACCCTGATTTGATCTTTATAGATATGAACATGTCAAATTATCACAGGTACCCTGAAAATATGTACATCTATTATGCATCAGTTCGAAAATAAAACAGGCAAAGGGTATGTATAGACTTTATAGAAAAGCATATCCAGTGATGCAGTATAGTTAACAAAATAAATTTAAAAAATAAGAAAAGAAAAGCATATCCAGGGCCGGGCACAGTGGCTCATGCCTGTAATCCTAGCACTTTAGGAGGCTGAGGCAAGCAGATCACAAGGTAAGGAGTTCAAGACCAGCCTGGCCAACATGGCGAAACTCCTGCTCTACTAAAAATATAAAAATTAGCTGGACGTGGTGGCAGGTGCCTGTAATCCTAGCTTCTCGGGAGGCTGAGGCAGGAAAATTGCTTGAACCCCAGAGGTGGCGGGTGCAGTGAGCTGAAATCACGCGATTGCACTCCATCCTGGGTGACGAGCAAGACTCTGTCTCAAAAATAAAAATAAAAAAATAAAAATCCAGATAGCCAGTAAGCTCATGAAAGGATGTTAAGTTTACTAGTAGTTAGAGAAAAACAAGTTAAAGTAATAGTGAGACACCATTTTCACCTGTTAGGCTTTCCAACAGTTAAGAGTAGGTGATCCTGAAAACATAGTGCTGAGTGAAAAGCAACAAATCTATGACAAGTCCCATGTATACAAATCAGAAAGCATGCATGCAACAAACGTGTTAAAGGAAATATACAATGAAAAGATACACATTAAACATTAGAATAGTTTCCTAGAATGGTGAGGAATGGGAGTGGGAAATGGAGATAAGAAAGTAACAGAAAAAATGAATAAATAAATAAAATTAAACATAAAATAAGTCAATAAAACTAGCCATAATACCTATTGCTGGAAGGATGTAGCAGAAAAGAAGCCTTCTAACACTACCAATAGAAATATAAAGTGTTTTCCAGACTTTCTGAAAAATAATCTGACAGTATAATCCTAGAAATAGTGGGAATGTTTGTCGGCATGGGGGTCACTAATTAGATGATCCATACTGTGAAATATGATATGGCCATTCAAGGAGCATCAGAACTGTGCTTAATGCCTTGAAGGGATTTCATTAGATATTGAATGAAAGATGGTGTAGAAAAGTAAGTGCACGGTGGTGCCATTTTAGGAGACAATGACCCCTCCCCCACACAAGCCTTTGAGAGAGAGAGTGTGTGTGTGTGTGTGTGTGTACAAGCACAGAGAAAAATAAAGAATATATGCTACATTGGTGTGGACAGCTAAACTAATGGAGGGGGAAGAATAAGAGAGGAAACTGCTTAGGCAACCAAAAGTAAAAATTAAAATTGCACTAAAAAATTAATCATAGGTGGCTGGGCGCAGAGGCTCATGCCTGTAATCCCAGCTCTTTGGGAGGCCAAGACAGGCGAATCACAAGGTCAAGAGATCAAGACCATCCTGGCCAACACGGTAAAGCCCTGTCTCTACTGAAAATACAAAAATTAGCTGGGTGTAGTGGTATACACCTGTAGTCCCAGCTACTTGGGAGGCTGAGGCAGGAGAATTGCTTGAACTCGGGAGGTGGAGGTTGCATTGAGCCAAGATCTCGCCACTGCACTCCAGCCTGGGCAAGAGAGTAAGACTCAGTCTAAAAAAAAAAAAATTAATTACAGGTATAAGATCACAGTCATTCATGAATGTAAAATTTTGTATATGTGGGGATATTTGCACACAGAAATTACTAAGATTTTTGTTTGTTAGAAGTATGAGTTTTTTAGATGGTTGATTTTCAGTCCACAGATAGATATGTTGGTCATAAGATTCTTGGTTGTCAATGCCTGATAGCTCTCCTCTCTGCATGTACAATGCCGGCACTAAGTTTGGTATCTCTGTGATTTGTATTATTTGCAGAATCTTTGTGGTTATGGTTCTTTCTCTAGTGATTTCATTATCCACGTAATGTTCATGAAAAATAGTGAAAACAAGTTTGTTGGATTAACAGATAAAACTTTTCAATTAGTGGGTCCCAGTATAATGCTTATTTAGGAATATGTGTCTTAGGAATTAGAAACTTAGGAAAAACACTCTTGTTGGTCATTTAAAATGCATTTTGGTACATGCGGTATGCATTTAAAAAAATTTAGAGGAAGAACACCTTGTCCATAATTTAATGCAGACTAGGTTTTTGAAGCTTACAGAGCTAGAGTTTTAAATATAGTATTAATGTAAGATGTATATACTTTTTTTGAGACAGGATCTTGCTCTGTTGCCCAGGCTGGAGTGTAGTGGCACAATCACAGCTCACTGCAGTCTCAACCTTCTGGGCCCAAGTTATCCTCCCCCATCAGCCTCCCAAGTGGCTGGGACTACAGGCCCACACCACCATGCCCAGCTTATTTTTTTATTTGCTTTTGTAGAGACAGACTTTCACCATGTTGCCCAGGCTGGTCTTAAACTCCTGAGCTTAAGCAAGCCTCCTGCCTGGGCCTCCAAAGTGTTGGGATTATAGGTGTGAGCTACCACACATAGCCAAAACATAAACTTGTATGAAAGGGCTAAGTGCTGACAAATAGCATTAAGACAAGTGTTAGGAATCAGTGCAGGCCCAATGTGATTTACTGTATTGTATTTGTATTTCAGATGCCTTTGGTGCTTCATGAAGAATATTTCCAGATATATCACAGACATTAAGCCTTTGCCTCCCAACATAAAAGATAGACTGATTAAAATAATGAGCATGCAGGGGCGGATAACAGATTCAAATATAAGTGAGGTAAGAGTATGAATAACTGTAAAGCAAGTGTATTGTATTTTCTGTTTAGATATGGTTTTAGATTTTTGGAACAATGGTATATGGTAAGACTGGTAATCATTTTTAATTTTTTTGTTGTTGTTACAGGATCTTGCTCCGTTGCCCAGGCTAGAGTACAATGGTAGAATCTCAGCTTACTGCAACCTCCAGTGCCTGGGCTTAAGTGATTCCTCTTCAGCCTCCTGAGTAGTTGGGACTATAGGTGTGCACCACCATGCCTGGCTAATTTTTGCATTTTTTGTAGAGACAGGGTTTCATCATGTTGACCAGACTAGTCTCAAACTCCTGAGCTGAAATGATCCACCTGCCTCAGCCTCCCAAAGTGCTGGGATTATAGGTGTGAGCCACTGTGCCTGGCCTGCATTTTAGAATATGATAAAGTATCAGAGTTTGTTTTATTCCCTCCAGATAACCAAAATGTCCACATGTAACAGTTCTTAAAAAATCTCCTTCCACCATTGTCTCAGTCACTTCTCTCATGTCAACCACAGTCATGGAGACTGAAAATCCAAGCAAAAAGGTTTATTGGTGGTTTTAGAATTGCAATTCAAGGAACACAGACTCCAGAGGCATATGAAATCATGTCCTAACTATTTAATTCACATGTCCTAAGAGATATATGAGGGCTTTTAAAGAAAAAGGTCGGAAAGGGTTATCAAACAATTCATTAGTTAGAATAAGGGTTTCTAGGCAGAAGTCCTTGATTCAGGGGTTTGGAAAAGTTCCGTCATCAGCGTACATAGTCTTTTCATAAGTAGCAGCAATTTCATCTGCAGCAGCAGCAAGTACATTCTACGGTCAAGCAGCTGCAGAATGACATTCAGGAAGTAAATGATGTTGCTCTGGTCAGCTCCCATTAGCCTTCCATGTACACTTGTTTTCATGATACCTATACCCTTGACCTCCATGTTTTCAAAAAGTTTTAAAACTTTTTGGTCAAGACTCACATAAGAAATATATGTTACATTGTGACTGTAGTACACAAACCACACTTATGTGTAACAGTATAATGTGCAGTACATTTGGTCTTTTCTATTTTTTTTCTACTTAGTCTGATTTTATTTAAAAAATGTTGATCACAGCCTGCTAAACTGATTTTGTAATTTATTCATAAATAACGACCAGTAGTTAAAAATCACTGTTCTCAAGCAGTGGCTCACACCTGTCATCTCAGCACTTTGGGAGTTTGAGACCAGCCTGACCAACATGGAGAAACCCTGCTTCTACTTAAAAAAAAAAAAAAAAAAAAAAAAAATTAGGCAGATGTGGTCGTGTATGCCTGTAATCCCAGCTACTCAGGAGGCTGAGACAGGAGAATCACTTGAACCCGGGAGGCAGAGGTTGCGAGAGCCAAAATTGTGCCATTGCACACCAGCCTGGGCAACAAGAGCAAAACTCTGTCTTAAAAAAAAAAAAGCTATCACTCTTCTCATTTATACTGTTCTTTTTTCAGCTGCTATATTTTTCATATTTAGTATTTCTAATTTACCATTTTATGGTTTCTTGTTTTATCTTGTTAGTCTTTTCTTATTTATTTTAGCATACTATTATGCTCATTAATACCTTTAGCCCCTGTGTTCTAAATACTCTGCTCCTGATGGAATCAGTAATCTTTGTTTTTCTTTTGAAATAGTGATACTCTCTAGGTGTCTTGTTCTGTCCTGTGAGCATATATCTATGTAGACTCTCTGGTAGTGGCAAGTGTAAAGGAGGCCAGATCCTCCTTTGGTGCTTCAAGGAGGGGTATATGTTCTGGGCCATAAAGAAAGGCAGACCTATAGCTTATCTGCTTCCTCTTTTTATTTATAAACAAGACTGTATTAGCCCTACTGAGCTGACAAAGCAGGTGGAGGCCTGGAGAGGGGCTGGAGGGATGAGCTTCAAGGCAGAGAACCCCAAGCACCAGGAAAAGACAGTTAATCACTCTTCCTTTTGCTGAACAGCCCCTCAGATTAGGGCTTAACCTTCAGCCCCTGATTTTTAAAGGTTATTAAATAACAGAGCAGAAAGTTTCCTTTGCTATTACTCCTGTGTTATCTTTTGCTATTTGTGTTTCAAAAACTGAAAATGCTAGTTAGGAATTTCTACACTACTTATATTTAAATATTGTCTTCGGGTTTGCAGCCATCTCCACTCTTGCAGTCATCACCATCTAGTCTACAGAGACTAGAACTGCTCATTGCTGTTGAGGGTGAACGACAACTATCCGGGCTGGTGGGATGGTGGGAAAATAATTTACCAAGACAGTTACAGGTAAAGAAAGGCAGATTTATTTGAGAAAATATGAAAATACATTGCAAGGGAGCAACGGGCAGAGCCAGCAAGAGAGGAGCCAACTGCCAGGAGACAAAGACTTGCTGGGGATTATACAGAATGGAACTTGGGCTGACTGACACCACCAAGGTAGCAGGGAGCTAACTTGCATCCTTCTGTCAGCCGAGGTGTTTGATGCTAAATCATTTGGTGGTAAGCAAGAAGTTTGTAAGTTACGTACATTGTCTGCACAGGAGGGCTGTATGTTCTGGGCCACAAAGAAAGGAAGACCTATAGCTTATCTGCTTTATGTTTTTATTACCCTGGCCCTGCCAGCCTGACTTCTTTTCCATAATTAGGACTCCACAATTTCTCTGACTTCACCTTACCTTCTACCTAATGCCTGTAATCAAAAGTAAGCAAGCTCTGATGACAGCAATCCAGCATATGTTTTTTATGGTGTTTGTTTGTTTGTTTGAGGGAGGATCTCTGTCACCCAGGCTAGAGTGCAGTGGCATAATCATGGCTCACTGCAGCCTCAACCTCCTGGGCTCAGGTGATCCTCCCACCTCCTGAGTACCTAGGACTACAAGTGCTCACCACTTCACCCAAATAATTTTTGTATTTTTTGTAAATACAGAGTTTCACCATATTAACCAGGCTGGTCTCAAACTTCTGGACTCAAGCAATCCGCCCACCTTGACCTCCCAAAGATCTGGGATTACAAGTGTGAGCCACTTCCCCAGCCCACATGGTACAGCATGTGACTAGCCCTGTGACTTTACATTGGAATTGCACTTCAACCTGTCCCTAACGTTTCTTCTGCATTAACCTGATATGCCTTTATTATAATGCTTTATTTTCTTCATGTTAGCTTGCATTTGAACATAGACATCTTACTGGTGTAGTTTGCTTGGCTCTGTGGAAGTAGAATCATATCTCCAGGTTCTTATTGTTGATGGTTCTGCTGAAGTATGTAATGTTATCTGTGACTCATAGATGAACCATTATGACACTGTGGAAAAATGGTGGTTTTCCTCACTTTTCCACCATCCTCATTTCTTTCTATCCCTTTAGCTGTGACTTAGGTTTTTGTTTGATGGCAATCCTTACCATTTTTGAAACTTTATTTTAGCTGAGTAAAAAGGAGAAGTGAAAAGAGTGAATGAGCTAGAAAAACAAGACATGATTTTTCTGGATATTCTCCCTCTAGTCTCTACCCTGCAGGAGAGTCCTGCTTATGACATTATTCAAAAAGCCAGATACAACATCTGTTACAAAGTTACACACATCTTTGGATGGCTGTTTTTGAAGTATTTCCTAAATCGTTTTATACTCTCTGAATGGAGAAGGCCTTTTTAAACAGGATACCAAAGTTGGTAACCAAGAAAAAAAGAGAAGATGGATTTGATTACATAAAAATACAGATCTCCTTATAGCAAGAAGGAAAAAGAAAGTCAAAAACTTGGAAAAATATTTACAATATCTATGAAAATCTAAGGGCTTTTTTATCTTCACAATATAAAGAATTCCTTCAAACCAATAAGAAAAACAAAACAACCAAATAAAAAACCAGAAGAATCAGGACATACTCAGAGGAAAAAATACAAATCTCCAATAACATATCAAAGGATATTTAACCTCACTAGTCATCAATGTGACAGTTTGCCTTTCAGTTTGGCAGAGACTGAAGAAAAAACCCAAAACCCAATGTTAGCAATAGTGTGGAGAAACTGTCACTTTATCTTCTGCTAGTGAGAATGTAAATTGATTTTAAAATAACCTTTTAGGACAGTGGCATTAACTGTCAAAAGTTCTACAGATTTACTTATTATTAATTCAACAATTTACTTCCTGTAGAAATCTCAGGAAGATAATAGAAAAGTACCCAAGTATAGTCATTATAATATCATTTGTAATAATAAGCATAGTTTTGTATAGCGTATGTTATAAGGAAGACACCTTTATTTCTCACAACATTATCATCTGTTTTAATAATAATGCTAGTGAAGCACAGAGAGAAAACTGAGCTTGATCACAATCATAGGGTTCCAGCTTGGGCAGTCTGCCTGCAGAGCACATGTTCTTAATCTCGGCACAACATTGCCTCCGTAAAACAACCTAAATGTTCAACTCAAGTGTTTGCCAGAACATTTAATAAGTTACAGTACTTGCAGAAAATGGAATAGTATGCAACCACAATCTATTGATTTTATAAAAAAGGGCTCATCTTATATGTGATCTGATCCTGTTGTTCTTCAAAGGGTTTTTTAAACTCAAAAAAACATCAAAATGAATATATGCAGCCACAAAATCATGTCCTTTAGAGCAACATGGATGCAGCTGGAGGCCATTATCCTAAATGAATTAATGCAGACACAGAAAACCAAATACCACATGCTCTCACTTATAAGTGGGAGCTAATCACTGGGTGCATACAGACATAAAGATGGAAACAATACACCCTGAGGACTTCAAAAGGGAGGAAGGAGGGAGGGAAGCAACAGTTGAAAACCTACCTGTCAGGTACTGTGTTCACTGTTTGGATGATGGGTTCAATTGAAGCTAAACTTTAGCATCACGCAGTATATCCATGTAACCTGCACAGGTACCCCTGAATCTAACATTTTAAAAAACTAATATAATTTTATCTCTGGGTATTGGTACTATGGGTAATTTTAGTTATAGAGGTTAAAAATATAGGCTTTGGAATTTAAAGGACCTGGGTTCCAATCCTACCTCTGCTCCTTTTGGCTATGTTCTTTATGTAGGCTACTAGCTCTCAGGGTCTCAATTCCCTATTTGTAAAATGACAATGACCAACCCCTTAGGGGAGAAGAGAGAGAGAGAATATTAAATAGTATAATATATATGACACTTAGTACCCTTCTTGGTAAGCACTTAATAACTAGAAATCATTATTATAATTTGTTGTAGTTTTTCTATATTGTCTGAATGTTTTTTGCTTGTTTTCGGTTTTGTTTTTGTTTTTCTGAGACAGAGTGTGGCTCTGTTGCCCAGGCTGGAGTGCAGTGGTGCAGTCTCAGCTCACTTCAACCTCCACCTCCTGGGTTCAAGCAATTCTCCTGCCTCAGCCACCTGAGTAGGTGGAATTACAGGTGTGTGCCACCACACCTGGCTTTTTTTTTTTTTTTTTTTTTTTTTTTGTATTTTTAGTAGACATGGGGCTTCACCATATTGGCCACGCTGGTCTCAAATTCCTGATATCACATGATCCACCAGCCTCAGCCTCCGCCTCCCAAAGTGCTGGGATTACAGGCATAAGCCACCACACCTGGCTTATTGTCTGCATGTTTTACAATAATGATACATTATTTTTATTTTCAGAAAGGTAAAACCATTTCTATTTTGGAAAAAAATAAAGAACAGAAAAATACTCCTAGGAAAGAGCTCAAAAATGCTTAGGAATTAACCTATTATTTGTTGACCTCAAGAAAACACCCAATAATTCTGGGATTGTTTGTATTAGATCCCAAAAATAATGATATATGTTAGAAATAAAACTTGGAGTTGTAAGGAAAAGTGAGTACTCAGACAAAGGATTTTTCAGTAAAGAAAATTTACTTCTGTGTAGAAGGGTGCCTCTTGTAAGGCTGGCCACGAGAGCGCCCCAAATAAAGGCGAGTAGAACTTTTATTTCCAATGCAACTCTTGTCTCTATGTCCTTTCCCCATTGGCTGGGATTGGACTGCACAATCTACACTAGACCCAACTGGCTAAACATTTAAACTACTTTAGATAAGGTGGACCCATGATGGGAGAGAGGGGAGAGGAGGAAGGGGTTGTCTGTGGCAGACTAGAGATTCAGTCTTTTTTAAAATAAGTGTAGGGATGTGAGCTGGTGCTGATAACTTCATGGTGTTGTGGCAGGTTTGGGCATGTAGTAAAATCAGAAAGAAGAAAGTAGGGGGAGGTACTGGGAATTGAATAAAAGGTTGAGCAGGCTGTTTGAAGAGAAACCTTACCATATCTCACAGAAGGCAGGTGTTCTAGATAAGCAACTCTAGTGCTCTGTAAACACTTGGTACACAAGTGATTAAAGACTCATACTTACTAAGCCAGAGGCTCATAGGGAGAGTCTCTAAGGAGAGCATCTGCCAGAGGATTATTACTCACTGCCACATTGGTTAAGCTTCTCAGGTCTATGGATCCTTTCCCTTAATAAGCCATCTCCCAGTGAAAGCTTAGAGAACGAGACGACGCCACACTTTTAGACGAATTATTGTCAGTCACAGATCAGCCGATTCCCAGTGGAGGAGCCCCACGGGTCACCAGCGCGACTCTTGTGGCCGCCGCAGCGGTTTTGCCGGCCCCTCGGCGCAGCAGCTCTTCATGCAGAGCAAACGGGACTGCTACCCTACTGACCGGAGTTTGGAGCTCCAGGAAGTCAGAGCCGCTTGTTGCGGACTCAAGAGGGAAGCCAGACCAGAGATTCCCGGGCAGAAGAGCACCATCAGTTTTATCGCTGCTATTTAGGCTGCCACAGTGGCTTGCTCGGATCCCAGCACTGGGAATCAATAAATCGGACGTCAACTCAGAAACCTAATTAGAAAGGCGGTTCATCTACAATGAAGGGAAAAAAACAGCCTAAGAAGGCCGAGTATACCCAAAATCAGAACCCATCAGCAACGGAACAAGCCCTGATGGAAAAGGACTCATCAGCAGCAGAATAAGTCCTGATGGAAAAAGACTGTGTTCCATTATCTGAAGTAGGCTTTAAAAGTTGGATGATAAGAAAATTCTGGGAGTTAAAGGAACTTGTTCTAACCCAATGTAAAGAAACTAAGAACTTTGAAAAAAGGTTCGATGAAATGATGAAAAGAATAGACAATATAGAGAGGAATACAAATGAACTTATGGAGTTGAAAAATACAACACGAGAACTTAGTGAAATATGTATAAGCTTAAATAGCCGAATGGATCAAGCAGAAGAAAGAATATCAGAGGTCGAAGACCAATTTAATGAAATAAAACGACAAGACAAGAATAGAGAAAAAAGGATAAAAAGGAATGAGCAAAGTCTTCAAGAAATATGGGACTATGTGAAAAGACCTAATATACGTTTGATTGGTGTACCTGAATGTGATGGAGAGAATGAATTCAAGCTGGAAAATATTCTTCAGGATATTATCCAGGAAAATTTTCCTAATTTAGCAAAGCAGGACACTATTCAACCCCAGGCAATACAGAGAACACCACAAAGATATTCCTCAAGAAGACCAGCCCCAAGGCACATAATCGTTAGATTCACCAGGCTCGAAACAAAGGAGAAAATACTAAGGGCAGCCAGAGGGAAAGATCAGGTTACCCATAAAGGGAAGCCTATTAGGCTTACAGCAGATCTCTCAGCGGAAACCCTACAAGCTAGAAGAGAGTGGGGGCCAATATTCAGTATACTTAAAGAACAGAACTTTCAGCCCAGAATTTCATATCCTGCCAATTTAAGCTTTACAATTGAAGGAAAAATAAAATCTTTTAGGAACAAGCAAGTACTCAGAAATTTTATTACCACCAGGCCTGCCTTACAAGAACTTCTAAAAGAAGCATTATACATAGAAAGGAACAACCAGTATGAGCCTTTCTAAAAATACACCAAAAAGTAAAGAGCATTAACATAAAGAAGAATTTACATCAATGAAAGGATAAAATAGCCAGTTAATATCAAATGGCAGTAACCCTAAATTTCAATCGACTAAATCCCCCAATCAAAAGATACAGACAAAATCTAACCGTATATCTAAAGATATACAAAGACTCAAAATAAAGGGTTGGAAAAAAACTTACCAATTAAATGGAGAGCAAAAATAAATAAATAAAAAGCAGGAGTTGCAATTCTCACAATTAATAAAATAGATTTCAAAGCTACAAGGATACAAGGGTAAAAGGATTAATGTAATAATAAGAGATCTTAACACCCAGATACATAAGACCCATAATGAGATTTAGATTCAACGAGACAGAAAACTGATAACGATATCCAGGACTTGAACTCAGATCCAGAACAAATAAACTCAATAGAGCTCTCCATTTTAAACACACAAAATATATATTATCCACTTTAAACACACAAAATATTGATCGGCCATTATTGATAGCCATTTTAGGAATGAAGTAATATTTCTTTTTCCCTCTTTTTCTCTTTTTCCCTCTTTTTTTCTCTTTTTCTTTCTCTTTCTTCTTAAAAAAAAAAAAAAAAGAACTCCTTGTGCCATCCCTCCGTTTCTCCCCCAAAAAAAAAGCCATCTCAACAGTGCTTTTTGTCCCAATAAGGACTTTGCTAGCAGTGAAAGCTGCACCTCCAGCTGGATGTAGACTTGGTTTTCTCCTGCTTTATGTGTCTGTCTCTACATGGATATGCTTCTGTATTCTTTGCTGTATTTTACATCAGCCACTTGTCCATCATGACCACCAAAACACTGAATATGGAATAAATGTATTTATAGAAAGAAATAATCGGCTAGCTGTGGTGGCTCACACCTGTAATCCCAAGAATTTGGGTTGGAAGGCCGAGATGGGCAGATCACCAGGTCAAGAGATGGAGACCATCCTGGCCAACATGGTGAGACCCTGCCTACTAAAACTGCAAAAATTAGCTGGCCATGGTGGCGCACACCTGTAGTCCCAGCTACTCGGGAGGCTGAGGCAGAAGAATTGCTTGAACTAGTCGAGGTTGCCATGAGCCAAGATCGTACCACTGCACTCCAGCGTGGTGACAGAGTGAGACTGTCTCAAAATAATAATAATAATAATAATGATAAAATTTTAAAAAGAAATAATTTTTCAAAATCTCTTATTTGTTACAGATTTTACATCCTGAAGTCCAAACTCTAGACCTACGGAGCTGCGATATATCAGATGCTGCTCTCCTGCACCTGTCTACCTGTAGAAAACTAAAGAAATTAAATTTAAATTGTTCAAAAGGGAATCGAGCTTCCGTAACTTCAGAAGGTATGTTTATTAATACTGAGTACATTGGTAGATTACTGTTCACTATCTGGTAAAATTGTGAAGTAAGGGAGAAAATATGTCGAAAGAGAGTATGAAGATGTCAAAGAAATATGAATTATATTTATCAGTAAAAACATTCAGACTAAGAAAATAATCCAAGTTAGAATTCTTGCTTATAATTGGTGGTCAACGTTAAGAAGGACACTGGGTAAGTCATTACCTTGTATTTTAAACATATTTAACATAAACATGGGCCAGGCTAGGTGGCTTCTACCAGTAATCCCAGCACTTTTTTAGCTGGGAGGCTGGTGGACTGCTTGAGCTGAGGAGTTCGGCCAGCCTGGCCAGCATGGTGAACTGCCTCCCACCCCCACTGCGTCTCTACAAAAAATACAAAAATTAGCCAGGCATGATGGTGTACCCTATAGTCCTAGCTACTTGGGAGACTGAGGCAGGAGAATACCTTGAGCCTGGGAGGTAGAGGTTGAAATGAGTCAAGATTGCCCACTACTCCAGCCTGGGTGACTGGGAGACTCTGTCTCAGATAACTAAAAAATAAAGATTCAAGAAATCATGGATGCATATGTCTATATTTTAAATATTTTGCCTGGTATAGTGGAACAAGAAATGACCAGTTCATATTTTGTTAAGCTTTCTTTGATGCTGTATTACAAAAGAATTAATCATTAGATTAAATTTACCAGGCACTCTCCTATCAGTTTGTGCAATGCAGAGTTTTTTATAGCTAGACAGACTTCATTGTTCAATGTCACTATTAGATGAATTAGTGAATTTTTACCTTTTTTCCCCTCTATAGACCTTTTTTTCCCCAATATTGGGTTTGTATTAAGATATATTTTCCCTCAGGAATAAAAGCTGTGGCTTCATCTTGTTCATATCTACATGAAGCTTCTTTGAAACGATGCTGCAGTCTCACTGATGAAGGAGTCGTTGCTCTTGCACTCAATTGCCAGCTGTTAAAGATCATCGATTTAGGTGGCTGCTTAAATATTACTGATGTGTCCTTACATGCATTAGGAAAAAACTGCCCGTTTTTGCAGTGTGTTGACTTTTCAGCTACTCAGGTAAATGACATATAGGCCAAATGTGTTTGCCAAATGTATTTTCATGACTAATAAGAATGTATAATAATAGTTCATTTTGGTTTTGTTGAAATTATTGACTATTTCATGCTTTTATGGTTGAGTAATTGCAATATATTTTTGCATATTACTCTCAAGTAACAAGGGTGGAAGGTATATATGGCTAAAACACATGTTTGATGAATGGGAAGCAATAAGACTATATCTAAATAAGTCATACATTAAAAAAAATTCTACTTCCATTGTCTGCTCTCATGGGCTGTGTTTCTTTTTCCCTTTGCTTAGGTATCTGACAGTGGTGTGATTGCACTTGTTAGTGGACCTTGTGCCAAGAAATTAGAGGTAATTTTAAAATAATTTTAAAGATAGTGGTGATTAAATTTTTATATTCTCAGAAATTATTTTTAAAACCTAGCAGATAACTGATGCTTTATCAGTTAAGTATTTTATGGACTTTTTGGGGAGAGGGGTTTCTATCTCTTTATTGCCAAAGTAAATAAAAACTGTTAAGCAGGGAAATAAAGCTGTTTTAAAATAAAAACTCATTTTACTTCCAGTAAAATGTCTTATTTGCCAGAAGCTTTAGCTTCTAACAGATTTAAGAATCATCTTATTATGGACGAAGATTGTGAATATTTATTAGTCTAAATGTATAATAGGATTTCAGGTCTGACTGATATTTCTACCAGGAGTACTAATTCTCTTGTCTTCCTGTCATTCTATTTTTCAATAGCCACATTGTATGATCATTTTAAAAGATTTTTTTTTTTTTGAGACAGAGTCTTGCACTGTTGCCCAGGCTGGAGTGCAGTGGCACAATCTCTGCTCACGGCAACCTCCACCTCCCAGGTTCAAGTCTTGCACTGTTGCCCAGGCTGGAGTGCAGTGGCACAATCTCTGCTCACGGCAACCTCCACCTCCCAGGTTCAAGTCTTGCACTGTTTCCCAGGCTGGATTGCAGTGGCATAATTTCTGCTCAGTGCAACCTCCACCTCCCAGGTTCAAGCAATTCTCCTGCCTCAGCCTCCCAAGTAGCTGGGACTACAGACGTGTGCCACCGGCTAATTTTGTATTTTTAGTAGAGACAGGGTTTCACCATGTTGGCCAGGCTTGTCGCAAACTCCTGACCTCAGATGATCCTCCTGCCTCAGCCTCCCAAAGTGCTGGGATTACAGGTTTGAGCTACCACACCCAGCCTAAAAAAGATCTCAAATTTGTGTACATCCTTTGAATTGAATGACTAATGCACTTGTAACCTATTTCTAAATATATTAAGAAGTCTTTTATCCCAGGATTTTGGTTTCTGGAGGCTGAGGCAGAAGAATTGCTTGAACCCAGTAGGCGGAGGTTGCAGTGAGCAGAGACTATGCCATTGCACTCCAGCTTGGGCAGTAAGAATGAAACTCCATCTAAAATAAAATAAAATAAAGTTACATCTAAAGCCCCACTCCATTATTCTCCCTTTCTGCCTTCAAAGGTAGCCACTATCCTAAATATGATTATGTATCTCTCCTTGCATGTTTGGATACTTTTTCTTTCTTTTTTTCCTGTGGACCTTGCTGAGACAGAAATTGATCCTTTTTCTATTATGTATAAATCCATAAATAAGATATAGCATTGTTTATATAGTTTTAGAATTATGTTTTCTGAAAATTTTCAGGTGTAATTGAGATATAATTTACATATAAGAAAATTCATTCATTTTATGTGTATAATTAGATAAATTTTGGCAAAGATTATATAGCCATATAACCACTACCACAATTGATATATAGAACATTTTCATCACCCTAAAAAGTTTTCTGTTTTCTCTGTGGTTTTCTCTTCTTTTTTTTTTTTTTTTGCTCTCTGGTCCTTTGTAGTTGATCCCCTTCTGTGACCCTCTCTTTGGCGAGCACTGATTTACTTTGTCATTGTTTTGCCTTTTCTACAATTGTATATAAATTCAATTTTAGATAAATGGAATTCTGCAAAATATAACATAGTATTTTGATTTTTATTTCTTTCTTTTACTTCTTTCACTTAGCATAATGTTTGCAAGATTGATCCATGTTGTTGCATATGTTAATATTTCATTCCTTTTTATTGCTAAGTAGTATTCCATAGCATGGATATGCTACAACTTATTTATAATTTTACCATTGGATTCAAAGATAAATAGCTGGGGCTTAATTAAACTAAAGAGTTTTGCATAGCAAAAGGAACAGTCAACAGAGTAAACAGATAACCCAGAGTGGGAGAAAATCCTCACAATGTGTACATCTGACAAAGGACTAATATCCAAAATCTAGAACAAACTAAAACAAGTTAGCAAGAAAAAAGGAAACAGTCCCATCAAAGAGTGGGCTAAGGACATGAATAGACAATTCTCAAAAGAATATGTACAAATGGCCAAAAAACATGACAAAATGTTCAATATCACTAATGATTGCAGAAATGCAAACCAAAACCACAATGTGATACCACCTTACTCCTACAAGAATGGCCATAATAAAAAATCAGGCCATGCATGGTGGCTTATGCCTGTAATCCCAGCAATTTAGGAGACCAAGGTGAGTTGATCACCTAAGGTCAGGAGTTTAAGACCAGCCTGGCCAACATGGTGAAACCCCAACTCTACTAAAAATACGAAAATTAGCTGAGCGTGGTGGCATGCTAGCTACTTCGGAGGCTGAGGCAGGAGAATCTCTTGAACCCCCAGGAGGTAGAAGTTGCAGTGAGCCAAGATCACACCACTGCATTCAGGCCTAGATGACAGAGCTGAGACTCTGTCTCAAAACAAAAAAAAAAAAAAGAAAGAAAAAGAAAAAAATTATAGATGTTGGTATGGATGCGGTGAAGAGGGAACACTTCTACACTGCTGGTGGGAATGTAAACTAGTACAACCACTGTGGAAAACAGTGTGGAGATTCCTTAAAGAACTAAAAGTAGAACTACCATTTGATCCAGGAATCCCACTACTGGGTATCTACCCAGAGGAAAAGAAGTCATAATGTGAAAAAGATACTTGCACTCACATGTTTATAGCAGCACAATTTGCAATTGCAAAAATGTGGAACCAACCCAAATGCCCATCAATCAACAAATGGATAAATTATTTATATATATATAAATACACACACACACACACACACACACACACACACACAATAAAATACTACTCAGCCATAAGAAGGAATTAATTAATGGCATTCACAGCAACCTGTATAGGACTGGAGACTATTCTTCTAAGTGAAGTTACTCAGGAATGGAAAACCAAACATCGTATGTTCTCACTCATAAGCAGGAGCTAAACTATGAGGTTGCAAAGGCATAGGAATGACACAATAGACTGGGGATTCAGGGGGAAATGACGGGAAGAGGGTGAGGGGTAAAAGACTAAAAATCGGGTTCGGTGTATATTGCTTAGTTGATGGGTACACCAAAATCTCACAAATGAACACTAAAGAACTCAGACATGTAACCAAATACTACCTGTTCCCTAAAAACCGATGGAAATTAAAAAATAATAATAATTGTATCATTTGATGGACATTTGGGTTGCTCCAATTTTAGACTGTTATAAATACTGCTACAGACGTTTGCATACAAGCCTCTGTGTAGACATATGTTTCATTTTTCTTGGGTAAATGCCTAGGAGTGAAATTGCTGGGTCATATAGCAAATACATTTAGTTTTATAAAATACTACCATACTGTTTTCCAAAGGGTCTGAGCTAACATGTTTGAGATTTATATCTATTAATACAAGTATTTTTCATTGTAGCTGTTTTCTCTTATTCTATTCTATTTATAAACCATCGATTTTCCCATTCTCCACTTTTTTACTATTACAAGTAATACTGCAAAGGCCATATTTATAAATTGTTTCCTTGTGCACATGTAGAAGAGATTCTCTATAGTATATATTAATAATTGGAATTGCTGGGTTCTGGGGCATGCTCGTCTTCAGCTTTAATAGATATTACACATTACTTTATAAAATGGTTGGGCATTTAACTTTTTAGGCTGTTCCTTCCAAATTGCTTCAGACTTATACTGGTCTTTTCTATATAGTTTTCCTTGTAAGTAGATATTTGGTACTTTTTGTATCAGAGTGTTTCTCAAAATTGTTCATATTGTTATTATAGATCTAAGTTTTCTTTAGACTTTATTTTCTTTATTTTTGCATAGGAGATTCATATGGGACATTGTGTAAATCTGACTGATGGGGCTGTTGAAGCTGTCCTTACTTACTGTCCTCAGATACGTATATTACTCTTCCATGGATGCCCCTTGATAACAGGTTAGTGCAATAGACTGCTTGGGTTCAAATCCTGGCTTCATCTTTTACTAACTGTGTGACCTTGAGTATATTACTTAACCCATTTCATTATTCAGTTTCCTCATCTGTAAAACAGGCATAATGAAAGTACCTACCTCATAGACTTGGTCATGATTATCTGTGAATTCTTTATATGGTGGCCTCGCACATAGTTAAGAGTTCACTAAATGTTAGTCATGATAAGGCTGGGCACGGTGGCTCACGCCTGTGATCCCAGCACTTTGGGAGTCTGAGGTGGGTGGATCACAAGGGTCAGGAGATCAAGACCATCCTGGCCAACATGGTGAAACCCCGTCTCTTAAAAAAAATGTTAGTCATGATAATGATAATGAAGGTGGTGGTGATGACTGGTGCTCAATAAATGAAGAGGATGATGATGGGAACAATGGTTGTGTTCATGATATTGAACATGATGCTTTATATAAACAATAAGAAAATTTCAAATGTACAATATTACATCTATCAGATATACTAAATGACTTCTTAACTGTTACCAAACTGTAGACATTAAGATCAGAATAATTTGAACTCTTAGGCTAATGTGGCTCTTCACTGAAGGAGAACAAAGTAGCAATAGCCCATTTAGCCTGTATAAGAGCCATGGTATATATCCTCCTACCGTAGAAACCATGGCACCTCACCCTTTCATATTACCCCTATAATAGATCTCATACCATAATATAAACTGGATCTCACTTGTAAATCAGTAGTTATGCCCAGTCATTTCTTTAATTCCAGCTCATTTCTTTAATTACAGTCTAAACAATTTTTTAGAGACGGAGTCCTGCTCTGTCACCCTGGCTGGAGGGCAGAGGCATAATCTCTGCTCGCTGTAACCTCTGCCTCCCAGGTTAAAGTGATACTCCTACCTCAGCCTCTCAAGTAGCTGAGACTACAGGCCTGCACCACCATGTCCAGTTAATTTTTGTATTTTTGGTAGAGATGGGGTTTCATCATATTGGCCAGGCTGGTTTTGAACTCCTGACCTCGTGATCCACCAGCCTCAGCCTCCCAAAGTGCTGGGATTACAGGCGTGAGCCACCGAGCCCAGCCAGTCTAAATGATTATTCTGTAGGTTAAGTTATTATCCTGGAAGTTCCTTTGACAACTTCTCTTTCAGTTTTAGGAAGTTCCTTTGACAACTTCTCTTTTATTTTTAGGAAGTCCCTTTGACAGCTTCTCACTTTTATTTTTAGATTGCCAACCTTAGCCGAAGCTGTAACCATAGATTGTATTTGGGTATCAGTGACATCTGTAGTGAAGATTAGATCTTACTTTATGCAAACACATTTCTTAAGAAACTAGAGCTAGCAAGGGCACATTAGACACTGGTGCCTGGGTGCGGTGGCTTATGCCTGTAATCCCAGCACCTGGGGAGGCTAAGGCGGGTGGATCACTTGAGCCTGGGAGGTCGATGCTGCAGTGAGCCGTGGTCACGCCACTGCACTCCAGTCTGGGTGACAGAGTGAGACCCTGTGTCAAAAAAACAAAAAAAGAAAAGAAAAAAAGAAACTGTTAACAGTGGTTAACTCCACAGAAAGTTGTAAAGGGACAAGAGTAGGAAAACTGTCATTGTATACCCTTTTGTATCTTTTGAATTTTAAATCATGTGAATTATTTTTAAACTATTAAAAATTAATTGGCCAGGTGTGGCAGCCATCAAAACACAGATGACCCCTGACTTACAATGATCAATTTACAGTTTTTTGACTTTACAATGGTGCAAAAGCTGTATACATTCAGTAAAGCCATACTTCAAGAACCTATGCAACCATTTTTTTCACTTTCAGTATAGTATTCAATTATCAGGGGGTAACCCCATCATAAGTTGAAAAGCATCTGTAGAGGTAAGGAACAAATATCAATTTTCTTTTTTATTTTATTTATTTGAGGCAGAGTCTCACTTTGTCACCCAGGCTAGAGTGCAGTGACACAATCTCAGCTCACTGCAACCTCCACCTGGGTTCAAGCATTTCTCCTGCCTCAGCCTCCAGAGTAGCTGGGATTACAGGCGTGCACCACCATGCCCTGATAATTTTTGCATATTTAATAGAGATGGAGTTTCACCATGTTGGCCAGGCTGAACCTGAACTCGTGACCTCAGGTGATCTACTCACCTCGGTCTCCAACGTGCTGGGATTACAGGTGCGTGCTACCATGCCCGGCCTAAATACCAATTTTCAAGTCTAGAAAATATACTAGAGTGGTTAATCAGATTTTCAAACCAAGGAGTCTTTTGAGATAAATCATGTCATTATGGAGATCACTAGTAACCAAAGATATGTTAACAGATCATGGATTTAAGATAAATGCCTAGTTGGTTTAATTCCAGAAACCAGGAAAGCATAATCACATTAAATCTTTTCACACCTATGTAATGGCTGAAAATACTGACCTTACCTACTCAACTGTAAACTTCTAAAGGACAGGATTATGCCATTTAAGTATTTGTCTGTCTGTCATATATAGTACAGTATTATACTATAATATATACTCATAAATAGGAATAATTAATTCTTTATTATAAAAGTAAAATTATATTATTCTAGAATTGGAAATTACAATTAAGTTAGCAAGACTCAGTAGATATAAAATTCTAAAGTGAAAGAAATGGTAGAGCTGCAGCTTTTCAAAAGAAATATTGAGAACCAAATTCATGCTGCTACTTCACCTTTCACCTAGAGCCCCATGAGAGAGTGGCAGAGGGCCTGTTACATGTCCTCTGCAGTTGGGAGTGGGCGTAGTAGATCAGCTGCTCAGACAGAAGTGAAGAGGTTTGCCACTGCTTCATTAGAATCAGCCTAAATTCCCAGAATTTGAGGATGTATACGTGTTTCCCACTAGCCAGACTGGGCATAGTGGGAGGGAGAGCCATCCTAGAAGGATCGGTGCAGAGTGTGATGGGTGGGATCTCAACAAAGAGAGTCGTCTATATTTTGCAACTTAAAATGTGATTGAGCATATATAGCAGAAATAATTAGAAAGTCATAGTATTAACTAAATTTTCATTCAGGAGCAGGGTAAGAATAATCCTTCAATGAACAGCTTTAGAGGGACCAAAGGAGACAAAAGTAGAGTGGCTGTTAATGTTGTACCTTAAGAGCCATCCTTGTTCAACATGCAAATTAACATACCATTATAGGCCAGGCACAGTGGCTCATGCCTGTAATCCTGGCACTTTGGGAGGCTGAGGTGGGCGGATCACTTGAGGTCAGGAGTTCAAGACCAGCCTGGTCAACATGGTGAAATCCTGTCTCTACTAAAAGTACAAAAATTAGCCGGGTGTAGTGGCAGACGCCTGTAATCCCAGCTCCTTGGGAGGCTGGGGCAGAATCACTTGAACCTGGAAGGCAGCGGTGGCAGTGAGCTGTGATTACACCACTGCACTCCAGCCTGGGCAATAGAGGGCAACTCCATCTCAACAACAACAAAAAATTATAGAAAACAAAATGTAATTACAATGATAAAAATCTAAAAGATATGATATAAATGTAATTCACTGAAGAACCACCTTAGATTTTGTATTTCCCCTTATGTTTCAGAGCAATTCTATTGGTTTTACTTCATATTTTTATGTTGGTGATGAGAAAATACTTAACTATTTGTAGGTTTCAGTAATTGAAACAATACTTTCTGGTAGTATTTTTCAAATAGGCCCCAGGACCCATTTACAGGATCCCAAAGAGTTTTTGTTTATGTATGTCATATTTGTTAAATTAAAATTTCTATTAAAACAGATAAATTTTTAATAGACATTCTTTTTTTATTACCTAGAAAAGAGATATATTTTCATTCAGATCATCACTTTTCAGATCATTGTGGATACTTTTCTTTGATACCCCAAAACTCAGCACGTGGTAATTGCTTAAGGGTTATTGCAATGTGGAAGTCAAAAATATATCAATGAACTTTTCATACATTTGTGTTATGATCCACTATGATCAACTTTTGAGTTGATCTTTACCCATGCATGATTTTGTAACATCATGCCTTGGCAGTTTGGAAAATATTGGTTCTCTGAGTTATATAAATGTCTTATATATTAACACATTTCATTATCCAAAACAAAAATCAGTTGTTAATATCATGACTGATGTCATTAGAAAGGACCTGAATAGCTTTCAAGATCACAGTGGCAGCTACAAGGCTTCCAAAATTCACTTGAGAGCTAAAGTTTTATCACTGATAACAAATCCTTGTCATTTCTTTTCTTTGAAATGACAGCCTTATTTCTCCCATTTTCACAAAATACTCTGCCAAGTACTCAAATAAGAATAACCTTACACTGCCAGTCATTGTATTAGTCTGTTTTCACCCTGCTGATACAGACAAACCCAAGACTGGGTAATTTATAAAGAAAAAGAGGTTTAATGGACTCAGTTCCACATGGTTGGGAAGGCCTCACAATCATGGCTGAACACAAAAGGCACGTCTTACATGGCAGCAGACAAGTGAGAATGCGAGCCAAGTGAAAGGGTTTCTTTCCTCTTTTAAAGCCATCAGATCTCATGATACTAATTTGCTATCACAAGAACAGCACAGGAAAGACTTGCCCCCATGATTCAATTACCTCCCACCAGGTCCCTCTCACAACATGTGGGAATTGTGATAGCTACAGTTCAAGATGAGATTTGGGTGGCGACACAGCCAAACTGTATCAGTCATTCTTTTAAAAAGCAAAAATGATGTTCCATGAGAAAAGTGACTAGTTCAGTTCACATCCCTGAAAGGGTCTCAGACTATAGAATATGCAGATCAGGCCAGGCGCGGTGGCTCACAGCTGTAATCCCAGCACTTTGGGAGGCCGAGGCAGACAGATCATGAGGTCAAGAGATCGAGACCATCCTGGCCAACATGGTAAAACCCCATCTCTACTAAAAACACAAAAATTAGCTGGACACAGTGGCACACACCTGTAATCCCAGCTACTCTGGTGGCTGAGGCAGGAGGATCACTTGAGC